AGTAGTAGTAGTAGTAGTAGTAGTAGTAGTAGTAGTAGTAGTAGTAGTAGTAGTAGTAGTATGTTTACTCTAAATGGTTTATCTTTCATGGTAGGCTTTTTATGAGAAGACAATAAATGCCCTAGGTGTGTCGGGAAACAGGTTTTTTACTTTGTTCCTGAACGCAACATAGTGCCGACTTCTTCCAGAGTGAAGGCATGAAGTGACAAGAGCCTGTTGTTGAGCTTCAACAAAATAAAATAAAGCTTTTTGGACAAACACAACTCCAGTCATCACCTAWTTTTACAGCTGCAGCATTAGGAATTACTTCATCTCTAACCACATGTGATTGAAGTATGTCATTCCATCAGGGCTGCACAATATATAGAACACTGATCATCATCGCGATAACTGCCCTACATTCTACTGTATTAAAATAAAATGAAATTAATTCAAACTTGTCCAGGTAAACAATCAACATTCTCTGCTTGGAAATCACTGCAATAATTAGCTCATGGCCACGAGATAACACGTGACCTCGAGATGATTTCATTTTAAATCCAGTGTCCCAGGCTAGGCTCCGTACCATTGTCYGGATGACGTCCTTTCAACAAAGCTTTAGCTGTCAAGTGCCCAAAATCTTTACTCAAAATACTAAAAAATAAAAATCTTGTTTAATTCCATTAATTAATTGAATATTTTAATCTAATTGTAAGGAACATCATCGTAAGTGGCGCACTTAAACAGTCGATCAACACATCAACCACRAGTGAACAAGTATATTTATTGAAGCATTATTGGAACTGGAGGAAATTATCTGTGAAGTAATTAGTAAAAGGTTTACTCCCTTACATCACTTTTTAAAATCTCTGTTATTAATTTCTTGATTAATCACTGTGAACAGTGATGGGGGAGGTTTSCACAGAAAAAAAAAAGTTGATTAAAAATGCCCCAAAGCCAGYTGAGGCCTGGTCTGAGGCACCGGCTACTAATTACCACCAAGACTCTTTGCAGCTGCATCAATCAATACTTTCAGCTCCAGCGGCGCTAATGAAGAAAGCAGAAGCAGCATTTTCTTTTGTTGTGCTTTTTTAAAGAAGCTTTTCTAGTCTGGGTTATTTCCACTTTTATACCTTTTGCACACAATAGCAACACTTTCACTCTGAGCGTCTCTGTTTTTCTTTTCTAAGAAAAATAAGCTGTTTAAATGCAGTGAAGGAAGGAAGAAAAACAGAGCTGGGTATGTGACAGATTGTAACAAGTTTTAGTAGACTGAAGCAGAAATAGATGGACAAGGAAATTGAGTTTGAGGAGAAAATAGAAAGAGTTTCTTGTAGTGAAAGTATCTTTAACAAATATTTTCAAATTGATTCTTTAGTCTGGTTTCAAGTTTCTTCCTCATTACTCAGGGCTTCAAAACATMCATAAGTTAACAAAACAATATTTGATGTAATATTAGTGACCACTTCTTACTGTATTAAAGGGATCSCTGATTAGTTGTAACATTAGACTTTATTTGATAAACATATGTGTTAACTGTAAAATAAAGCTTCTAAAAGTACTGTAGGCTGTTTAGTTTTGTAAATTTTTTAAAATATATTTTAACACGGACGGAGCCATTTTATTTACACACAAAKCATTCTGGGTAAATGATGACACTGATAGGTCCTCGGTGTGAGCGAGCTATATCCACCCTGAAGGTTAATCTTGGACAATATCTGATGATCGACTCTTTTAAATGAAACCAGAGAGCGTTGACAGAGAGGAGAAGGTAGAAATGACTCAGCCTGTAACTGAAAATATGGATGGAGGACAACAGAGCTGCTTCATGGAAGAAGAACCTCAGCTTAGCYTGTTAGCTTCAGCGTTAGTGCTGACGCTATATTACCTTATATGTATTAGCTCAGCGCTAGCGCAACAAACAAGCTAAACTGAGGTCCTCCATCCATATTTTCAGTTGCAGCTGAGTCATTTCTACCTTCTCCTTTCTGTCAACGCTCTCTGGTTTCATTTAAAAGAGTCGATCATCAGATATTGTCCAAGATTACCCTTCAGGGTGGATATAGCTCGCTCACACCGAGGACCTATCCACGTCATCATTTACCCAGAATGCTTTGCGTTTAAATAAAATGGCCCCGTCCGTGTAATATATTTTTAAACTTTTAGTTAAAAAATTATAAAAAATTAAACATCCTACAGTATTTTTACAGTCTTTATTTTACAGTTAAAATATATGTTTATCAAATAAAGTCTAATGTTACAACTAATCGGGGATCCCTTTAAGAAGCAGCTTGTTGTGCAGCCTACAAGTGGCCACAGAATTCTATTGAAGTAAATTTTTATTTTAAATGAGTTTCAGGGTAATTTTTTTTATTTATACAGCATTTTAACTCACCTTAAATGCATCAGCTAAAATTTCTGCTCCTCTCTGATTCGTTCGTTTAGAGAGACCCACAAAAAATTCTCGACCTGAGGAAAAGAAAGAAGATGAACATCAACAGAAACGTGAAAACTCCCAATGTTCTTACCTTTAAAGCAAGGATAAAAAGGTTAAAATCAGGTTCCACAGGTGGAACACCAGCACTGTCTGTGCATGTGTTTGATGTGGGGGGGCGCGAACAGAATCCTGAGTGTGTGACAGGACTGCAGTGGTACCCAAGCTGCACGGAAGGCTTCTTATGTTGCTGCAGAACCTTTACAGTCTGAGCCATTAGCTGGGGCCCTGCCAGCAGGAAATGTTTCCAGCTCTGCCATGTGAAACCTATTCCTGCTGAAGAGAATGACAGCACAGCCCTGGTGTCTAGAAACTCAATTAGATGTACTTTTTACTTTTCCCTGGCTCATGCAGTGAAGAACCTACTGACCCACATTTTACATTTTTGTCCACGTGTAACAAAAAACGTACTAAAAACCCAACAAAGATCACTGAAGTTATTATTTTTATTTATCTACATTCATCGGTTTCATAACCCGTTGACACAGAAACGTAGCAGCCATGGTGAGTTTTGAAAAAGCAGTTTTTGGACACGACACAGTTTGGATACAGCGTGTTCAGGTGAAACTGCAGGGTGTGATGAGGCACCAGGTCACTAAAGACATCCAGAGGAATGTTTTTTTTTTCTTTTTAGGAAAAGTCCTAAAACACAAGAGCATGTTCATATGTACTGAATTGTCCACTTATGTAAGCTCTAAGAGCCACAGGAGCTCCATTTTATTTATTTCTGCGATTTCCTGCAGAAAACGGCTGTGTCTCAATAAGAAATGAAACGGTGACGGGGCAATGCATTCTGGGATACCATCAGCCGCATAGGATACTCAGATGCAGCCTACGTTTTCGGGGTTTTGCCAGCGGCATGTGTACAGGACAGACAGTGTGGTCGATGTTGGCTGCAACCCATGAATTGAGACGCAGCAAACTATATCCAATTATCCCTACCCGGTCATCAACAAAACTACACAAAACAGTGAATGAAGCTGAAAATCTGTTTACGACAATAACATTTTATTACAGTCGATTTTAAAAMAGTTTAAACAAGCAACTCTAAATTCAGGCTTCATTGGGCATTTGTTTGCTTTTGTTACACGAAGCTCTTTCTCTTGTCACAATTTTACCCTAAAATAAGCATTATATTCAAATATGAATTAGATTATATCAACAAAATTACTTTAATGCTTTTATTTTTAGAATATTTTGAGAATACATCAGTGGCGGATCTAGGATTTTTTGATAGCAAGGGACCTCAAGGGGCAGCAATATTCATAGAGGGGTCAAGTGTTCAACATCCTTGCTCACAAACGGCCATTCATGGTGAGGTGTATACGTTTAACCAGTCAAACATGCTCAAACAAGCTTGCACTGTAAATTCTTCACCAATTTTACATTTGTACTGTACATAGATAAAATACTAACAAACACAGCATGTGAGAAAACCCAGCTGTTTGTCAGTTGAAAGACGTTTTCCTGCAGGATGGTCCAAATCTTGTCAAGACAATAAGAAGACTTCTGTRAGCTTGATTCATGCTGAACTTTTCGATYTGACTCATCAGCRTCTCTAGTGTTTGGGAGTGGAACTGCATCCACCTCTGTCACTCTCTGACAAAGGACAGGTGAGTGACAGGAYAGCTGGGGCCAATGCCCCCYCTGGCCCCAYCCCTGGAATCACCTGAAGTACAGAGCTGCGCAACGGCTCACTTGACTAGTATTGGTGCCTCAAAGCATAAAGGTTCTGTGTGTGAAACTCATCTGGGATAAGTCCATAAGTTCATCACAAAATCCCAAATAAAGAATGATTGTTGGTTACTGTTGGTTAGCATAATCAGGCAAAAATGTATGTTATCATAAAAAACAACTGAGGTGTCAATAAAACCTACCTGTAAACAGAACATCTCCCCCATCCAGTGTMGCATTCTCCTCAGTCATTTCCACAATGTTCAGATTCAGATTCTTTAGAGCCTCTCTCATTGCTTCTGTCTGAAATGACACAAGGACACAAACAAACCRTAGTTCAGTTTTAAAATGACATGCACACAGGAAAATAAAAGCCAGTTTAAGGATACRTAGTTGAGTATTTAGGAAGAGACAGTAAAATGAAAATAAAAGCGTTTCTCGGCCTGTTCATTGAGCCATGGAATGATGTCATTTTGTAGAAAGTATGTTAAACTTTTACAAGGCTTTGGTTGAAGAAATTAGATATACTGAAGGAGGAACACAAACTCTGGAATTACCTTTTCCTGTTCTACTGCTCTGGATCATTTGTATTTTATATATTTAAAGGGTGGGGGGGGGGATGCAATCATGGCTGTCACTTGTTCTGTAAATTAAAAATATTAGGAAATGCATCGCCCGATAGAAGATTATAGGAAATCCACATTCTGCCACTATGTCATCTCTGCCGAATTCCAAACCTGAGGAAAGAGCAGCTTGTTTTGTTGGCTGACCTCWGGCTGGTCCGCTCTCCTGTCTGGCTGCCCAGAAGTATTTTACCATCCTGTTATTTTGGGGTTCCTGGGAGAATTGTTTCCAATCAAGTCATGTTAGTGACAGCATGTGTTTCCACAACTCCTATCTCACAATGACCTCAGCCTGCTCACTGCGATTTTGGGCAAAAGCACTGCTTCTGTTTCCCTTCCAAACCATGAGATCATCCAGGTAGACTTCCAGATAACACAGTGGAGGTCTGAAGTAGGCCTGTCATGATAACACATTTTGTTGGACGGAAAATGTTCTCAGACATTTTAGCAGTAAACGACAATATTGTTTGGAGACCATTTTGAACTAGTATAATGATACCCACCACCATTTAGGGTTGGGTACTGATACCAGAGCTAAATCGATACTTTCAAAAYGGTACCGGTTCCTAAATGGTATTTAAATTGGTACTTTAAAAATAAATAAATAAAACGCACACACTCACACAGAGGTTTATGAAGCAATGATTATTTCAGAGGCAAAGCTAAACTTGAAATTGACCAACATGTTAACTTAAAACCATTAATAATTTGCCTTTGGACCAAATATTCTTAAAGGGGCCATATCATGTAAAATCAACTTTTTTGAGTTTTATATCATGTTATAATGTTATACTCTCATAAAAAACA